GATTTTTTAATCATTTTTTTGAAATGTTGTTTTGGATTATGTGATGTCATTTTACAAATGCCAGTTTGAATCATAAGATTTTGAAATATTAAAAGAACAATCTTCATTGGCAATGTTTGTTCGACTTTTAAACATTTCAGTATGATCAATTCTTTAAAGTTTGACCTTTTAGTTAGGTATTAAGGTCACATTTTGATGAAGTGAAAATTAATAACATTGTTTTATGTTTTAAAGGTTAAGATCTGAGTGTAGTAGATAATAGTCAAGGGGTCAAGGTCATGTTTTAAACAAGTGAAAATTAATAACATTGTTTTAAAGGTCAAGGTCAGAGTGTAGAAAATAAGATTAAATGGGTCAAGGTCACATTTTTAAGAAGTGAAAATTAATAACATTGTTTTAAAGGTCAAGGTCAGAGTGTAAAAAATAGGATTAAATGGGTCAATGTCATGTTTTAAAGAAGTGACAATTAATAACATTGTTTTAAAGGTCAATGTCAAAGTGTAGAAAATAGGATTAAATGGGTCAAGGTCACATTTTTAAGAAGTGAAAATTAATAACATTGTTTTAAAGGTCAATGTCAGAGTGTAGAAAATAGGATTAAATGGGTCAAGGTCATCTTTTAAAGAAGTGAAAATTAATAACATTGTTTTAAAGGTCAAGGTCATCTTTTAAAGAAGTGAAAATTAATAACATTGTTTTAAAGGTCAAGGTCAGAGTGTAGAAAATAGGATTAAATGGGTCAAGGTCCCATTTTGAAGAAGTGAAAATAATAAAATTGTTTTAAAGGTCAAGGTCAGAGTGTAGTTAGTAGGAGTCAGTAGATCAATGTCAAATTTTGAAGAATAAGTTATTTGTAATGATGTAGAATATGTTCAAGATAAAAAAAAATGTTCCCAGTGTTTATCAATTAGTTGATCAAACAAAACTTGTTTGGTTTCATTAGAATATATTAATTAATACATAGTTTATTATGTGTATAAAGTGGGGTTTTTTAAGTTCCTAACATTCAATTATTATTGATTATAACCTCTCAATATCTAATATTGATAAACCTCCCTTTGATTTAGTTTAACCCCTCAATGGATATAGTTAATTATAATTTGAACCTAATAATGTATTAGTGTGATTTTGATTTCTTGTGTATTATTATTTTGACCAGAAGACCATAATATATTATTTACATTTATGAAACCCCTTCATCATTTCAAATGAAATATATACAGTTTTTATTGACACTATTTTCATGATAGTTCCTCATTTTAGATGGAACTGTTCAATTATTTTCTTCATTCATCAATTTTTAACAGAAATTGATATATTTTGTCAACACTTCTTGAGAATTTAAAGTGCTGTAATGCTTTTGTTCCTAGTAGCCTCTAGGGGGGAAATGTCTCTTATTTCCCTTATCATAGTAGGAGTTTTTAGAAAATGAGTTTGTATTTGCTTTGTTCTAGAGTATGAAAGTTGATATATTAGTCCCTGTGCTCATCTACCCACTTAACTTCTTTTTAATCAATTTTAAAACTCATTTTGCTGTCTTGTTTTAAACCTACATGATAATATAATATTATGTAAATGAATTACAGTTAAACGTGTGATAAAGAACACCTCTGAATAAAAGTTACCCTGAAAATAAGGGCTATGCATCAACAACCAATAACTCTTCTTTGATTTTATATAACAAAGTTAGTAAATTCCAAATGAAGACCACTTGTATATAAAGGTCATGTAAGGTCTCTCCTTTGGTTTGACCTTTGTTCACAGATTTGACTGTACCTTTTTTCAAGAAGTAAAATGTTATCTCCTCACCACATGGCATTCTAAATGGCAACTACAGAATCAACCCATATAACCAATGCAGACCATGATTTGCTGGAAAGTCTGTGACATCTTATCATGGTCTACACTATTTCTTTAATTCAGTCAGTACATATTTTAAGATATTTCCTGAAACTGGTAAATGTATGTGCCTTCTGGAAGGTAAGTAAGTAAGTGATGCCTTAATTTACCTAGTTTCCCTCAAAAAGGTAAATTTCTTTAGACACACAAAAAAACCTCTTTTATTTTTTTATGAAGCAGTTAAAAAGCTTTTTCTGTGAAACATGATTTTGAAATTTTCTGTTTTAGTACCTTTTTTGCAATGAAATAAAAAGCACAGTTGTAAATTTCCAATATAAATGGCTTATTTATAGGACTTTGGTTGACTTAAATAGAGATGCTAATGTAAGGTTTACAATCTATCATCACCCACTTGTCAATTTATTTCTCTTCTACATTGTTACATATGCAGGTCTTTGTTTTTCCTATATCAGTTGGCATGAAATATCAAATTTGAAATTTGCGGTTATATTGTTATATCATTCACATTTATGATATATGGGAAGTGGAATTAATATATTTTGAAATGATTAGTTTTGTGAATTTGAGTTGCAAGGTGAAGTCTCTGATATCAAAGCTCAGTAACGAATAGTTCCTGGTTCTGTAATAATTATTTCAACGTGAAATAATTCATAATGCCACTTTTCTTAATAATGACGAATAAAAATGTGATACTGATCTTGATAAAATTATGTTCATTTCTAATCATTACTTTTATACAGCCAAACTTGTTTTTAAGACCAGTTCTGAGGAAATATCGCCCTGCGGACAAAGAATAAATTTATTATTTCTAAGTCACATTATTCTTATACAGTCAAACCTGAGTTTAAGATCATCTCTGAATAAAGACCACAATGTTAGTAAAGACTATTCTTCAACAAATCTCTGTTGATTAAATAGAACAAAGTAACCCCCATATAAAGACCACTTGTTAATTCAGACCATGTCCAGTCCATATTTTGGACGGCCTTTGTTTACATGTTTGACTGTACATTGTATGTTTGATTAAAAGTTAAGCGTTTCAAAATGTTTTAAATAGCAGACTTTAAGTCACTTGCCCTTCACCACTGTGGTCTTGAACTTTGAGCTCTTTTAATGATAGCTTATGGAAGTTGAAAGTTCTTAATTTTAGTCCGGTGGCTATGCTCATGTCTTAAATAAAGCACTGAGAGACTTCTCCCAGTAAAGCAGGAACTCACTATATGACCAATGTTGTCAGTGCCACTTAAAACCCAACCAAAAAGATTAATTAATATGTACATGTATTTTTGAAATCTATAGAATTATTTATTATTTGGCATTTAGTTTTAATATTGAGCACATTAAAAGTTTAGGGCTCTAACAAGTAAAGTCTTGAACCTGGCCCATTGTTTGAACTGATGAAGCGAAGTTTTTGGTTTGGCGCCTCAAGATTTTGTTCATTTGAACTTTGGTAATGGTTTATTGACAGTTAGTAAAGGAAGCATTTTGATGAAATTGTCTACAGGTCATTGTTTGGTCATTTTTGGCTCATTGGGTTAATTTTTTGGCTCATTTAATTGACTCCTTTGTGTAATTATTTTGACACATTGATTGTCCTCATTAGATTGGAGACACCCAATGTTTGGCTCCCCAACTCAGGATTAGCTATTAAAGCCTCTTAGATCATTGATTTGGTCTGAATGGCTCTTGTTTAGCTGACTCAACATTGCTGATGTAAGTATCGCTTAAGCTTAGACAGTGATGTCTCCAACTGGAACAGGTCCTCTCTGTTATACATTCTAAATTATTTCTAAAGAAAATTCTAGAATTCTATTGTCAGCTCTTAAGTTTAACTTAAGCAAAATGTGCTTCAGAATCAGATTGCTTGAGTTCATAATTTAAAGTATTTTCAAATAACCATGCCTTAAAATGGTACATAACTTAGTTATATGCACAAGTTATTTTTTTCTTCATAGATCGAGAATTTTTGCTGAGCAAATATTTTTGCCAAGTTTCTAGCTCAGTGAAGCCTCTAGGCAGGAAAGAATCTCAATACAGACGCATTATCACACTGAGACACCTTAATGCTAGGTGTATAAGATAATTTTCATAATGAATGTCTTCTCCTTTCTTATTATTGACTTATTCCAGGCTCAAAAAAAGATACAAACTGACTGAAAACATATCATTTACAATGTATTTTATGTGCTTTTTATTGGGAAAAAACATCAGTTTACAGTCTTTCTTAGTAAATTAGATTAAATCAATGCATATGATTTGCTGGTATGCATGCAAACATTCTTATAGTCAAAGATGCATTAAATATTTCTTAAACTGAGAACATTTCTCTGTGATAAGTTAAACTTGAAAAATAAACACATTTTATGATCTTAGGCGCTCATGATACAAGTTTGACTGTAGGTACAATTTCGGGAATCAGTGTTATAAAATTTGTTTGAAATTTGATTAAAAATTTGGAAAAAAGATTTCTTAATGTAATTACACAGCCAACCCATTATAATGGTAACCTCGTATTTTTCTGTTTTTCGCCAGTGAGTCATAATTTTTTATGTACATTGATAACATGCTGTTTCCTCTATAAATTGCTCAGTAAATGTGACAGTCAGCAGTACAGCATCTCCATTCAAGGTGTGGATTTCTTTTTTCTTTTTTTTGACAAAAGAAACCAAAAAAAAAACAAACAAAAAACAAATAACAAAAAACTGACAAGCAAAACACAAAATAATAGATGAAAAATACTTAATTGGTCAGTTTTTAAAGTTGGAGATTTAATAGAATAACAGCTTGGTATTCAAGAATTGCTCAATACCTGCAGTTATAATGAGATAAAAGAAATCAAAGGTGTTGCTGACATGCTTTTAAATCATAGGGGAAAATGATCAAATGTTACATTAAGATGCTCTTTTTTATCTTAATTGACTTTGAAAGGGCTTTACACATAGCAGAATTTTAGATCAATGGAGATAAATAGTGCTGTATTATACAAGTTGTGTGATTGGTCGATGTAATAAGATAGATATTGTAAGATTAAGTTCAGGATATGTTCTCAGTGATTTGTTTATATCCTGTTTATTTATCATGGAATATATGCAATAATATTTAGAAAATAACATTGTGGGGTTTTTTTTTCTCAGGATATTAGTTTTCCGGAGGATTGGGGAAACTCTTCATTATTTATAATAAACTATATAATAATATCAGTATCATATTAGATTGGATTTTGTGTACATGAACTAATTAAGCTTATGATTGCTTTAATATATCAATGAAATATCACATCTGACCTTTGTGCTGGACTTACAAGATATCTAAAATTTTGTCTTGTCGGGTTACTTATAGTCTCGTTTAAGGTTACTTTAGTGTCATTTAAGATACTGACTTTTATGAAAAGAGTTTATCTTATAGAGTTTATCTTATAAGGTTTACTGTGAGTTTAATAATGAGATTTTTGTTGTAGAAATATTTGCAAATTTGTTTGATCAATCGTTTATCAAGGGGAGGAACAACCTGAAACAAGTGTCTATAACTTGTTACCCTAATTAATAAATAGATTAAGAATATGGATAGAAGTTAACTGTTTTTATTTTGCCGGTAGTAGCGTAAATAAATAAATAAATATCATAATATCGTGGGATCTCACACACACATCACCAGTGCCTACAACTTTAATGTTTTCTTCTTGAAGAAAACAAGTTTAATTGGATTTAACATCTGTGAATGTGCTTAAAATATCTGTGCCATTTCAAGCGAGCAATTCTCTATGATTTTGGTTTGATTTCAAAATAAATATTTAAAGAATAAGGTGCACTTTAAAATTTGAACTAATATTTACTTTTGCAAGTGAAATTTCTTCCATCTATTTTTTGATGATAAATATACAAGTGTAGTAGGAATATTTTACTCTCAAGTGCAATAATATTGAGCATAGAGAATTTTGAACTTTGATGTGGTAAATTATAGAGGAGGTATATGAATACAATACAGGTTTTTTTCACTATGATACAATATGACAGTTCTATGTAAGAAATGAATGCCTGCAATTTTACTCAGTATGTTTGTGATTAATATAGAAAGGTAACTCGTAACTTGTTTCAATACAAATAGGTCTAGATTGCCGAGATTTTGTGGAAGATTTACCTTACATTTCTATCGAAGAAAAGTTGTATCAGTGGCTTTAAGCTGTTTTTCACCTGTTAGGATTATTTGCAAATTTATTTTACCTTTGGGTTAAACTAACTAATATATTGATAAAAGTGATTTAGAAATAAATAGCAAAAAAAATGAAGAAGTTTCAGAAATATTCAATCGAGCCATTAAAAATTGATGACGATGATGAGGAGGTATTCCTGGATTCCAATTCGGTCAGAAATAAGAAAAAATCTAAAATTCAGCGAGATTCCGAAAACCCTTCAGTTGCCAAGGCAACAGGGTCAAGTGACTACGTAGATAGTGGGATACCAGGGGAAGGTCTGTTGAACATTAAGGAAGGTGAAAAAGGGTCTGCAGCTTTGGAGGAAGATACTTTCCCACCTCTTTTGTCACGACAGCCATCTTGGGGATTGCACCGAAACAGGTCATCTAAAAAGAGACGGGACTATTTTCGGTAAAGTTTTTTTTTTTTAATGATCATTCAGATTAATATGAGTAAAATATTTTATAGGTTGTCTCCAGGGGAACGTATTCAAGATTTAAGAAAAAGATCATAAAATGATAGTTAAATGTGATTTTATATGATTTTTTTATCTTTTCAATGACATAAGCATTAGGTATTTTTGCATACATTTTTTTATACAGATATTGTATTTAAGTCTCCTCATTACTGTTCTGTTTTTTATTTCTTAATATTTTTTTTTTGAAGGGGGGGGGGGGAGAAACAATTTTTTTTCTAAAGTAAATTGATAATAAACTTACTGTAAAATTGATACAAGCTAGTAATAAGATAAAGGTCAATAACGTTATTTTCTCATCAGCATTTTGACTTCTGGCTGTTTTATACATAACACTTTTGTAAAATACTAGACCATTGATCCATTTATTTTCACCATGTTTTTTGTGCCACATGATTACAAAATGATACTTGTAATGTAAAAAACATTCAAGAAGAAATTTTATGCTGTCAAGATCAAGGGTGTACTTTCTGATTTAACTCCATGATTGCCTAAGCAACAACATTGAATTGTCTATTTCAATTTACAACACAAAATTCCAAAGAAAATCTTCTTTTCTAGAATCATTTAAATTTGGTGTTTATTTTTTCATTTGAGCTGTTGAGTGATAGTGTCTATAACAACCTTTATATTGCCACAAATTTCGAGTCAGGAATGCTCCAAATCTGGCCAGATTTTAGACTGTTTGCTTCTAAATTTTGGCATTCAATGTATTATCAAAATGCTTGATCATAATATTCTAAACAAAAATTCATTTGAAATTAAAAGGACAAATCCATCATATAAATATAGTAATGAAAAGGTTAATGGTCAGATAACTTCTGTCAATCAATATTAAAAAAAAATTTTGCTGATGAGCAAACCATTTACTTAGGACCATCTATTTAACATTATAAAATCTCAAAGTATATAATGTGGACTTTTTTTAGTTCACACTTTTATAAACAATTGCAGAGATTCTGTCATTTGTTGCATTTCATGGCACACCTATTTATTGATTTTAATTTTGTATGAATAATAATATTGCATTTTTCAAATTCAGTAATTGTTACAAATCATTTTGTAGACTTGATTATAATTCAAATTCTTTGTGAAATAGATACACCTATAAGTATATTCCATTGGACGATTATTATTACCAATGTATTACTTGGATTTTGAGAGCATCTAATAGTTAATAAATCTATTACTATCATTAAACTGAAAAAAATAATAAAATAAATGAAAGGTTCATAAATAACTTCATAATCCTAAAACACACAGGAACGGAGGAGCGTAATTATCTATTTTGATTATTTGGCTGGGATTTTGTTATCTTTTTTTAAATTTCTTCCATTTACAAAGGTGATTCATATTCCATTTTAGGGAGGCTTTAGTTTTTTTATCAGAATGTAGTCTCCAAATATCTTTTTTATAATGAACTATAACTGTTTTTGATATTTTACTATTAAGTGGACTATTAATAACTTACCTAATTACTTAATCAGATAATTTAATTAACTCCTAATTGATTTTCATTATTTAATTACCACAATCTGCTACAAAGAAAATTAAATGTTTAGGTGTCAGCCCTCTTCTGTTTAGTGTTTATAATAATATTCATAGCAAAATATTTATCTTTTCTAACATGAGTTATTTCAGCTGCAAAACATATGCCTGCAATTGCACCAAGTTCTTCATGGTATAATGTAATTTTCGAGGAATTTTCAAGTAAATATGACTACCAGACTCTTGTTATGTTAAAACTGTGCATTTTTATAAACATATGTTTAGAATTATGTTGAACAGCATGTGATTATAAAAGCATAAACAAACAGAATTCACATAAATAATTGGTATGTTTGCTGTTGCTGACAGTTGGATCAAAATCAGGTCATATTTAGGTTTGAATCAATTTAAAAAAAATTCTGAAAAAATACTTAAGTCTTGATTTAAATATTGTTTTTAATACTATGACAACATATTGACAGTGTCACTTTCATGATAAAATGAACCAATTTTAATATTTGCAAATGTATTATATTGTTATATTTGACCTTGACACATACATTGTCAGGTCAAATGTCAAGGTCATTGACACCTGTATTATTCAGATACAGAACTGGCCATCAAGTACAGTCCTCATAATGAAGAAAATTTATCTAATTTAATGAAAAACAAAATGAAATTTTACATAATGTAATATAAAAATAATGATTGTGAAAAAAAAGAAAAATAACAGAGAAATAATGTTTTACCTTGTTTTTGAACCTCAAGGTCACATGTTACATAAAGGGTCAATTACCTGCTAACTTAGATACAAATCATGCACAATACAGAACAAAATTTATAAAATGTTGAATGCAAATATCACTGTGTGGGCTGACTTTGTAATATAATCAACCAATATTTTGTAGAAAAGTGGGAAAAGCTTCCAAGTAAGTATCTGTACAGTCACAAGTAATTGGTTTTTACTCTGTATGGCTTCTTTTTTCACATAAGTTTCAGAACACATAACTTTAAACATCATGTTTAACATTATTTTAGCTTTTTCAGACTTATTTATGATGGGAAAATCTGCTGGTTACCTTATAATTTTAGTATTTAAAGGTGTATGTTTGAAGTTACATTTAATAAGAATGAAAACAGTGTAATAAAATTTATTTAAACTTTCCATGAACATAGAATATGATAAGAAAAATGCCAAGTTTGGTTTTTAAGAGAGCTCTTTTTTCCTTCTTCTTCTTCTTAAAATATACCTGTAATATCATTGTAAGAGCATGCAAAATTGAAATAAATTCTCTAATAGTACATATTTCATTATGCCTGTAATAGTTTATTATTATCCACCTGAATTGGTTCTATACTGTTTTAACATGGTGATTTTGTTTATTATATATGAAATTACCTTCCTGCAATCAAAGGTGATTCAAGCCTAATTGGCTAACTAACTCGTGAATTCCCTATAGTTGACAAAGCACTGTTCCAAAAATGGAAGCTTTAAAAAATCAGCACAAGTCATGGTAAAACAGGATAGATAGGCCAGTATAATGCATTGCTGCTGTTTATAGGTATTTCAGCATCCAATTTGGCAAATGGATTCAAACTGCTTGTCCCTTACCATCCACTAGGGACTTTGAATTTAGTAACTTTATGTGAGGAGGCTATCCTAGCTTGCATTGCAGTACATAGGTGGTTGTACTCTGGCAATCGAAATAATGTTCTAATCGAGGGGACCCTGAGGTCTTTATCCAACAGCAAAGCATTAAAATTGTTGTGTGACAATTCCAACAACTAAAAAATACCTTTTTACTTCATAATTTTCTACATTTTTGTAAATGCTTGATTTTGAGCTATAAATACATGGAATATCCAAATATAAAGTGGTATGATTTTATATATAAAAAGTAACCTGTATTGGACTATGTAAATCTGTAGAATATAATTTGCTTGCAATTCTTGATAAAACTGACATACTAAAATAATGATATGTTTGTAAATTGCCGATAAATTGGGTGGAGTTTGTATGAAATCATTTAACCTACCCAAAATAGCAGTTTGATATTTGTTAGAGAATATTTTATTCTGTTTTTTATTTGTAACTCATTAAATAAAAGTTGTGAAAATTTATGCAAAATATTTTCTCAAAATATAATAAAATGTGACTGCAAGGCTTGAAGAAAGTTTCATAGTATATATTGTGACAGATAAATAGAGGATATTCAAGCTTTTTCTTTAAATACGAGGGGTGATCCAAAAATTCGTGGACACGCTGCATAAAACAAAAAGAAATAAAGCAAATCATATGAAATTCTAGTATCTTATTAAGTAAGCATATGTCGACAAATTCTCAAAATATTGTAAAGATTGTACAAGAATTAACGATTTTGCACCAGTTTATATACATAGACATGACAAAACGCGGCGCAACTCACGACGTCACAAACGACGTTATGCTATCATAGGAAGTAATCTATGTTACCGTTTTGCCTAATAACTTTTCAAAGTATTCCCCTTTAACCCGCACACATTTTTCATAGCGGCGGACCGAGTCTCTAAATGTACTCGCATACCATTCTTGGCTGAATGATGACAGTATGCATTGGGTGGCTCCTCTCAACTCGTCCAGATTGTCAAAACGTTTCCTTCTCAACTCTTTCTTTAACCTGGGAAACAAGGCGAGGTCACACGGGGAAAGATCAGGCGAATATGGTGAATGACTGAGTACTTCTGCTCAAGAACTAGAGAACGACACACTGAGGGTTTATTGCCACACTTTCGATCATTTTTTTATCTCGCCAGGCGTCTTTCCAAGATTTACACAGAACTGTATAACTGTCTGAAGTTTTGCTGGATCCGTGACGTCCATTTTTGATAAAGCTGTTTTTAGCACCTGTCCTAAAGCACGGGCGTAAAATAACCGCAACTTCAAAATGTCTTCTAATACTGACAGAATGCCGCCATACACATCAAAACAACGTTATTATAACGTTTTCGCAATTTTCTTTGTTTGCACAGGTTTTACATGTGTTTAAATGAGATAAAAACGTTTACATCATAGAGAAAAAGTAAACTGCGCCGCGATTTTGATACTTAATGTTTTTATGTTGTCATTTATAGATAAAAAATGCAATTGGTGTTTTAAAATTTGGTCAATCTATCAAAAAAGCATTGAATAATAATATCCAAAGAGTTCACCTCGGTAGGACGTCACGTTATGGAGATACACACATTGTCCACGAATTTTTGGATCACCCCTCGTACAGGATATATTTTTATGAGTTTCCTATCACAAGATAAAAATAAATCCTGTATTTATAGAAAAAAAACTTGAATTTTCTGTTTAATATATATATATATATACCTTCTTCTCTTTTTTGACTATACAATTCTTAAGACTCCTTTATTTTTGTCTATTGGCCAAATTAGGAAGAAAAGTAGTCAACAAGACTGCAGC